ACACTAAATAAAACTGTATTAAATTTGATGTCCCATCTTCTTGGAGTATGTTTTTACATATGTATCTAGATAATCGACAATGAAAAATACAAATCTGTTTTATAGCCGCAGAATTAAATTTTCATCTGTTAGAGTATCTATGGCTAACATTTTAATTATTCTTTTTTAAGATAACGTGTGAGAGGAAGAAAATAAATAGAACAACATGTAAAAAGTGCAAAACATATACAAAAATGTGATAGAAATACATTGATAACAACTATAAGAAATGTATATGTTTGCATATTTCCACATATTTTTGCATATTTTTTGCATATTTTGAATGAAAAGCTTGCATATTTATGCGCATATTTCCTATAATTTGACTGCATAAAAATCCGAGCTCTAGTAAGGAGTGGGCCGAGGAATGTGTGAATAGTACGGTATGCGAAAGGGCTGTTTTTTGGAGCTAAGAAAGTGAGGGCAGCGGTGTTTAGGACCGGCGCCGGTAATATCAAAACGGTGCGTGTATTGAAGTATTTGGGAATTGTGTTAGATTCGGCGTTACTTTTCATGGAGCATGTAAGGTACGCGAGATGGAAGATAGCAGGAATAATGAGAAGGATTGCTGTGATCGCAGGTAGTGAGTGAGGTGTGAATAGAAGGATGAAGAGTGGTGTTACTTCTTGTTGAGAGGGAGGTGATGCCGACTATAATGTATGGAGTATGGAGCGGAAGCGTGGGGTGTAAGGTCAGTGGCTAGATAATAATTAAAGGGATGAATACTATGCCCTTCCTGTTGTGGGTGACGGGAACCTACCGGATAACGCCTACTGACGCAGTGTCCGTCTTGAGAGACGCATGGCTAAACCCGAATGTTTCTATACCTTTTCAAGCTCAAATTGGCACTAATCAGAATCAAAATGACATTAGTCAAAATCAAATTGGCAATGTCAATTTCAAACTGGCATTAGTCAAAATCAAATTGACAACAATCAAAGTTAAAATGGCATTAGTCAATATCAAATTGACAATAATCAGAATCAAAATGGCATTAGTCAATATCAAATTGGCATTAATCAACAAATTTAGCACCAATCAAAAGCAAATTGGCATTAAACAAAATCAAAATGACATTAGTCCATATCATATTGGCACCAAACAATATCAAGATGGCATGAAAAATAAATGTATAAATCGGTGTCAAACAATTGTTAACTTATCGGTTATTGTCAAGTTTATGGTAATTTATTGCGAGATTTCAACTATTATATTCACACGAGATGCCTTATTTAAAGAAAAATGCTGCTGCAAATCTGAGGACACAGATTTGCGCTTTGTATAATGCCAATGGTGACTGGCGTAATCTTGCAAACGTACTACAGGTGCCAAAAAGAACCGCGTATCGATGGGTTAACAACCAAGAACAACTGGAAAAGCAGCGAGGAGGTAAACGTAGAGCTAAAATAACTGATGAGCACCGTCAATTCATGGAACGTTCAGTCGAAGAAAATCCTAAAATTACTCTTAAAGGACTGAGTGAAAAAATCCGTGAAGATTTTGCACTCAATGTCTCCAACGAATGCGTTCGACAGCATCTCAATGGATTGATGTTTACTTTGAAGACTGCTCGTAGAGAACCAGAGAACGCGAATAGTATTCAAACGAAAACAAGCAGGAGTATTTATGTAGAAAATTTATTGGATCTTCAAGCACAAAATATACCTGGACATATACATGGACGAGACAAACTTTAATTTGTTCATATCGCGGACTCAGGGTCGTTCAAAAAAAGGGACTCGCTGCACAACAGTGTCTGCAGGTTGCAGAGGGTCGAATATTCACCTAATAGGATGCATTGGAAACATGGGGCTAATTCATTCCGAACTACGTCGGGGCTCTTTCAAGAAGCCGGAAGCAAATGAATTTGTGAGGCAATGCCTAAGAAGAGCGCAAGGCCTTTACCAAACTGGAGTTGCATTAGTTATTGATAATGCTCCATGCCACTCTACTATTGAAGAGGTTTTTGCAGAAAACGAATTTGAACACCATACACTTTTACGACTAAGTCCGTACAGCCCTATGTTTAATCCTATTGAACAAGCGTGGTCTGCATTAAAAGCAGATATGGCTGTACAGCTAAATAACATCTTGACTGGTGCTGACCGGGATCATCTGACTCAAACAGAATATCGAATGCAGAAATTAGAGAACACCGTTCATAATAATATGGACAAGATTACTGTTGCCAATTGCGCAATGTTTATTGCCCACATCCAACGATTTATCCCTTCTGCATTGAATATGCAAGATATAAATTTTTAAGAGTGTTATTTAAAACATAACGTTACCTACTTTCTTAAGTAATATAATTGTTATCTACTGTGTTTGTAAGTCAATAAAATGTTTTTGTCCATTTCATTTTATTTAATGCTGATATATAATTTTATTTCCATGTCAATTTAAAATTCATAAGTGCCAATATGATATGGACTAATGTCATCTTGATTTTGTTTAATGCCCATTTGCTTTTGATTAGTGCTAAATTTGTTGATTAATGCCAATATGATATTGTTTATTGCCAATTTGATATTGACTAATGCCATTTTAATTTTGATTATTGTCAATTTGATTTTGACTAATGCCAATTTGAAATTGACATTGCCAATATGATTTTGACCAATGTCATTTCTATAGTTCTAGGTATAGTATTAGTTTTAGTGTTAAGTTAATTCTAGTTTTAGATGTTATTCAGCGCCAAATTGTTGTATATTTTGAACACTACAAATTCGTTTCTGAAGCAGGTTATAGTGCTAGTGTTAGTTCAGTACAATACATTAATTATAATAAAAATAGTAATAACTGCTACATTCATTGTTGTGACAACCTGCCCGCAAACTACGTCACACCATTTTCCACGCCCAGCTGTTGTTATGGTTTATGCGTTTGCTGTGTATTTTGAGAGGTTATATCCTAGACGTATTCATATTATTTTTGAAGTTTTATGTTTTTAGACGTATTAATGTCTATCATATAACCTCTAAAACGCAGACAGTTACCAGGCGTGGCAAATAGTGTGACGTAGAGTGCGGGCAACCAATCCCTAGTGAACTACAAAAATACAATGGATGTAGCAGTCCTGTTAGATTCTACTGTCCTTGGTAATAACTGTGTAGATTATTATTACTATACAGAGTGTCCCGCAACGATTGTACAAAACTGCATCAGCGTATTCTATGATCAAAAATAAACAAAAAAAGCCTAATAAACATAGGTCCGAAAATGGACCATTTTCGAGATATTCAAAGATTTAGTTTCATAAGTTGATATTGTTAACATCATGAATTTATATTTGTTTTTATAATAATTAAGTCGTTACTATGATTACGATAAGTTGTCTAATCAAAAAAAAATAATAATACTTCACGAAATTATTATTTTACTATTTAATTTAATACAACTATTAAGTATGGCTCCTATTAATTACTACAAGGAAGAGATGGCGGATATGGTGTATTGTTACGGACTAGCTGATGGAAATGCGTCGTTAGCAGCTCGTCATTACGCGCAAAGGTTCCCGAACAGACGATTGCCTAATAGTCACACCTTTAGCAGACTATTTCTCAGATTAAAAGAAACGGGAAGCGTAACTCACAGCCATTCCACGGAGAGACATTACACAAGGCCGGTGGAATTAGAAGAAGCAGTTTTGAGAAGAGTCGATGAAAATGCCTCAACCAGCATTAGAAGAATTTCTGCACAAGAAAACATTAACAAAACAACCGTTCACCGCATTTTAAGGGAGCAGTTGCTTTATCCTTATCATTACAACACCGTTCAAGCTCTAACAGAAAATGATGGCGAAAAAAGAGAGATTTTTTGTAGGTGGGCCATACAGGAAGAGGTAGTAAACGTCGACTTTCCCATAAACATTGTATTTACGGATGAAGCAACATTTACTCAAAGCGGAATTTTTAATATTCATAATGCGCACGTTTGGAGCGATGAAAATCCCCATGCAATACTAGAAACTCATCATCAGTGGCGATTCAGTGTTAATGTATGGGCTGGAGTTATAGGTGATCAGTTATTAGGTCCATTTTTTCTTCCAAAGAGATTGACAGCCGATGCCTACATACATTTTTTACAAAATGACCTTACAGAGGCATTTGATGAATTACCTCAACAAATTCTAGAAGATTGCTACTTTATGCACGATGGAGCACCAGCACATTATGCACGCGCTACTCGAGCATACTTAAATAACAGATTTGGCAATAAGTGGATTGGCCGAGGAGGTCCTGTCCCGTGGCCACCTCGTTCACCAGATTTAAATCCGTTAGATTTTTGGTTTTGGGGACATTTAAAACAAATTGTTTATTCTGAAGACGTTCAAAATGTGCAGGATTTGAAGAATAAAATTAGTAACGCATTTGACACAGTAAAACAAATTCCTGGTATCTTTGAACGCATTAGAAGTTCATTTAGAAAACGTATCCGTTTGTGTTTAGAAGTAAATGGTGCGCATATTGAACATTTATTATGACATGAATCTTTTCCAATTTGTTAAATATTCGTTGTTTTTATGCTGGTTGAACGATTTTCTTCGACAATCTTTGTTACTTGTTTTGTTAAATTATTAATGAACTGTATTAATTAACTTAATATTATCTTATTATTTATTAAACTTTATCTTAACCATCGTAACCATGGTAATCATATAATTACTGCATCTAAATCGTTAGAATTAATGATGTTTACAATAGGTCAGCTTATGAAACTAAAACTTTGAATATCTCGAAATTGGTCCATTTTCGGACCTATGTTTATTAGACTTTTCTTGTCTGTTTTCGATCAGAGAATACGCTGATGCAGTATTGTACAATCGTTGCGGGACAGCCTGTATAAGCGCGTTTAGTAGAAAATTAATAACTTCAGGAATTAATTTTAAATCAATTTAAACATGAATTATTTTGATGTTAAATTTCTTTATGCCCAAAATTAATCTAATAAATACTTACATTAACAAAATATTGTTTTGCTGCTCGTAATGTCCCACCTTCCTTCTTTAACCGTTCATATTCTTCGTTTTTGATATAAACCTGTAATAACTTAGTACCAATAGGTAAATCAAAATTAGTTTTTATAACTTCTGCAGTCGATTTGAGATGATATGGGTTGGTAAGTACCAACCATTTCGCACTTGCTGTACTTAGTTGTGTAGCTACAATCCTGAAAATTTCTCGTTTTTACAATAAACCATATATTTAAACAATAAAAATCATATTCTTTTACTTGTTGTGATATAAAAGTACTCCACCTAAAACGGTTTCAATTCTTTGACATGATCGTAATACTTGAACGGATTCTAAATACACACAACTAGCGCTCTAAAAAGATTATTAAAAAGGAAATTTTTAAATGAATCTTTTTTTGCTTACCTTTGGCAATTGAAGGGAAATAATATTATGGAAAATATTCCCACCATGACCATAAATTAATAAATTTATGTAGGCTTCCAATACGCAATACAACTTTGTCATAAATCCTTCGGTATTTTGGCACATATTAAACATTAAATCGAAATCTTTATGATAAAATTTTAAAAGGGAACTTAATAAATTTGCACGATATTCCAAGATCCAATCGTTAATATTTCTATCTGTTCCCACAACCTTTTAACAATAAAATTAAGACACCTCTTCATTAAAATCAAAATTTTTAATTACCATAAGATATCTTGAAAAATCTGATATAAAAAACTTTCCAGTTTGTAATGATATAATCCTCGGACTAGAAAATATTGACTTTAAGCAATGTGCAGTTCCGATGACTTGTCCGCACAGTGCCGTTCTTTGTTGTTCAGGTACCCAATTCGGATGGAAATACACGATACCATCAAAACCGTCGTTTTCGGCATCTTCAACAGCTTTGGTATCGTACACAAATACAATCATCATTTCCCTTTAAAACAATATTGCAAAATTAGATTTTCTTCTACCTTAGTTCATATTGTATACTTTGCCATTTTTATTATAGTTTTGTTCTTAATTTAATTAAAAATTTTATTCATAAAGATACAAATCAATGTTTTTCTTAGTTTTCACTTTTGACAGATTTGGCATTTAATATAACCTCAAAACTGTTGAAGGGCTTTAATAGTGTTAAAAATAATAAATTAGAGCGACATCTATCGCTAAATAGATTTACTAATATTCATGTTAAGAAGTCTGTTTTATTTACTTAATAAAAATACAAAAATTATTAATTTCATTTATTTTTTAAGTTTTAATCAATTATTTTCAAATAATTTTGTGCTTTTTATATTTAATTAATTTAATTGTCGATATATCGATAATGTAGAACTCGCTTTTTAGTTATCTTATCTGTCATTTTGACGTTTTTAAAAATTTTAACTTTAAAAGATGTGTGCAAACGAATTAGAAATGGCAAATACGAACTGTAACCGCTATTTAACACAAGAAAAAAGTTTATATTTATACTTTATATGTTTTTTAGCTAAACCATCCAAGTTTTTCTTCAATTTTATCCCGTTCTTAACTTTAGAAGATGAAAGTAACAAACCTTTATCAATTTGTTATGTGATTTTTGTAATCGGTTCTTTGGCATATCTTATATTTTTAATTCTCAAAAAAACAGTTTTAGTGACTACTCAAGATATATGCAATGAGTTATTTGCTGCTATAGATGTAAGTAATTGATTTAAATATGTTTTTGTTATAACCTAAAAGTGATTGTCTTTCAATTTTAGAAAAAGGATACCATTAAATGTGTTAATATTATCAAGAAATATCCACAGTTAATTAATATGTTTTGTGGAAATAGTCGATATACACCGTTTTTGGTAAATATAATTTAAAATATTGTATTATATTTTCCAAAAAAATAATTAATAAATCTTTTAGAGAGCTTGTTTAAACGCTCACACTCAATTAGTAAAATATATGATAAGGGAAGGTAAGATTTTTTAATAATTAATTTAAATTAAAAATAATGTAATGAAAATATTTTATTTAGGAGCTAATGTTAATTTAAAATCGTTAAACGGTGAAAATGGCATATATTTAACCGCTTATTATCATGTAAAATACCAAGACGTTATGGATGCCACTTGTTTACATGCTTTGTTTTATGCTGGGGTGAATATTAATCAGCCAAATGCGAAAGGGTGGACCGCTTTACATTTAGCGTCGTTTTTTGGACATCATCGTCTGGTTAGGTGGCTTTTAAACAAAGGAGCCGATCCAAATGTTTTGCCAAGTCCTTACCTTTTAGCTAGAGAACAAGGTTTTTTATTAAAAAAATTTGTAATGTAATTTTTTTAATAATCACAAAACTTCATTTCAGGTCATCTTTTAACAACGTCTGTTTTTCGTGCCGTATTACCAGTAACTAATAGTAATAATAATAATAATCATCATCAACATAATTAATAAATATAGTTAATAATATTATGCAAAGATAAATTATTGCAGTAACATGTAATTATTTCAATTAAGATATAAATTAATGTAGTAATTCCTTTTAAAATTTATATTTTTTGGGGTGGTATATAACACTAAAATGCACTTATATCTGTAGTTATAAATGCAAGAGATACCCTGGATTTTGATTTGTTATTGGTGCACTTCTTCTTTCGTTTTAAAGTTCTTGTATTTGCAATTGGTGAGTGTAAATATTTGCGCGAGTATTTATTTAATACCATTCGTGTTAATCACCTTATGGGAGGATTTAGAGTATAACGATTATGAATTGGAGAACTTTTGTAATGTTCCAAAACAAATGTGTATATCAATATACATATAATAATATTTATATAGTTATTAATAATTACATGGTTACAATTTAAAGTTAAGGTTGGCTGTGGTGCCGCCACATTAATTCAAATTGAAACAAAAGGCATAATCAATCAATTATCACTATTGAACTAGCATTTACTTATTGTTTTATTTTGGGATGTACAGGGTGTCACAAAATCACAGGACTTTTCGAAGTCTCAAGGCAATTACCCGATGTTGCTCACTCGCCAGCGCTTAACACGGGGAATCCCACATTTCGGCCATCCTGTGCTTCATCCGCCTCGAATAGATTACTTGAACACCAGGGTTCCATATGGTCAGCACTGCTGGATGTTATTTATAACCGATTCAACTGTTTAATTGTTGTTGTTATAATAAATCGTACTATTTGCACACACATATCGACGTCGAAACAACTTGTATTTTTTTTAAGGTTTTTTTGCCCATATTCATCAGCTTTATAATTAAGACAAATAACTTTCTCTTTTTGTACTTCTAATGTTTTAATTTTATTTATGCTCTACCGGTTTTGGTCGCAGCCATCATTCAGGAGCGTCTACAATTAAACCATATACAATTATTAACAAAATAAAATACAAAATGAAAGTGTGATATTAAAAGAACATGGGTTAACCTAATCTAAATATATGTTACGTCAATTTCTTTGAGATTTCGAGTAAAAACATGACATGAAACAGGTATACAATAAACAAATACTTCGATTTTTCTATTTTTTAACAAATGGTCACCAAAAAAATGACAAAATGACAAACAACTTGATTAATTTTTCCCTCCGTTCTGTTCTTAGGGTTCTTTATTCGAGAAAAACGTGTTTTTAGAAATTTCGTTAAACATGGGTTAAGGTGTTGCCCCCCTTTCTGTTGCGAACCTGAATTAACCCAATATTTAGGCTCCTCGTTCGAGAGGGATAATTTATATTTTAGTTAGGGTTTTGTATAGCGGCTTTAGTTCTTTATGCAACTGATCGTTCAAGCAATTAAGATTTGGATATTTAAAGTTATGTTTGTCAATTTCGTACTGTCTAAAAGTTCCAATTGAAACCCTTTTCTATGAGAGTGTAACAGTTTTATGTAATCGTCTTCTTTAAACTCGTGATTATTTTCTTTTAGGTATCGTCCTTATTGTCTTTAGTGAGATGTTCTTTGACTCTTTTTTCTAAGGCTCTTACTGTTTCGCCTATGTAATATGCATTGCAGGTGGAACATTGAAAACTTCTCTAAAATCACTCGTCCGCAGGTTGCTGGATTTGTACCAATCATAGAACAACATCGTCCATGCAACGTCCATGAGTTGCAAATCATGGGTTATATTCTTTGGAAAGCAATATAATGTGATATTTATCAGCAGCACTTGCGATGTTTGCATCCCGATGAGAACACTTTATTAAATATTAGCACCATATCTTCGGCTACCTTATATCTTATATTATACTCTTTTTGCATATCTCCTTACTAGTTCTCATTAATATTATAGATTTTTTCAGGTTTTGCCGTGTGTTATCGGATTCCTAGTAATTCAAACTACTGTAGTGGAGTACCGATATCTGAAGTTTTTACATCCTATGCACAGATTCACGGCTGATATTTTACATTTTTGAGACTTCACTTGGAATTCTCCCGTACGCGCTTTACCATGGAAGTCACGGCAATCTTTGACACTGGTCCCCCGATAACAACAGATTCTACATTGTATGCCTCCACGGGAATCTCCGGTGATTTTCCGCTCTCTTTCTGAGTCACCTAGCTCAGCCTCAAAATCATGACATGGTCTACATCGGTCACCATTAACCGAAAACGCACAAAACAATCCTTTTGATTTTAGGAGGAGTCTTTAGTAACAATGCAAGCAAAATTTCACATCCACAAGAAAAACGAATGAGTTTGGAAAGTTATGCTCCCAGACTTTTGTGACACCCTGTATTCATTCTTGTATAACTTATAAATTCGATAATACGTCGAAAACTACATCAGATTAATTATATCGCGTTAATCAAATGATTGAATGGTATTTCAGTATTTGAACAATTCTATATCATTTCAATTTTTAATAGATGAAAAGTGCAGCGTATCAGAATATCTAATAAAAACCACGTTTGTTATAACCTATTGTTTTTATCGCTGTGTATTAATACGAGGCTTTGTACATAAGTATTGTTATCAAAACATAAATCTTAATAATCGGGAACGTAATTCTAAAGAGGCTTTAATAGAACTGTACTACAAGCTCATTAATACGGCATTCACTAATCCGACACGTCCATTAATCCGGCGTTTGACAACTCTTATAATCAAGTATATAATCCGACACTCAACAAAAGTGTGCGTTTTATAATTATGTTTAATCAGGTTGACCAACACCTGTTTTCACCCATAACGTGGTGGCTAGAGTGCTAGTAGTTATCGTGTAGGGTGGTGCTCTCGTCATTACTCCTCTTTTGTGATTTTGTAACACTTCAGATCTCACCGGCGAGACGATAGCAACAAACTTTTTCCTTTATATTTCCACCTACTTCTAGGGCCCATATCTTTGTTATTTAGAAAGATAGCGGAAAACTAAGCACACGGTTGGAAAGCTTGGTCTTTTCTCTATCCTAAACCGAGTTTTCGTCCACCGATATGTTGATAATAAGAGCAAGAAAAAATAAGAAACGTCGCGCTGCATTCAATTTACCTCAAAATTACCAAACTTCACGGCCTTGTGCAGCCGTTAACAGATGGAAACTCAATAAATGGCTTATATATTTGGAAAGAGCTGACCTTGGACTATCTTATTCCGAGTTTTCGTCCGCCAATATCTATCAGCGTCTGTAAGAAAAACCCACCTGAAAAAGCCCCTACCGATAAAAACACGCAAATATTTCTTGCACTAATAACTTTCCTATTTGACAGGGAGAAAACTTTACAACAATATTCAGCTTATGGGAAATTTCCTGCTCTTTCCAACGATGTGTGACACACCGTGATCACACGTTTGCACAATCCTTTTTTCTGACTATGAACTACCTAAACCACGAATTTTTGCCGCGGCTAAACCACGCTTAGGTCAATAACTAACTCTCTTGTATGACGGGGAGAAAACTCTAGAACTATATTCATCTTATGGGAAATTTTCTGCTCTTTCCAACGGTGTCCGACGCACTTCGCTTACGCGTTTGCATACGCGTTTTTTAAATTGATGAACTGAGTTAAAATGCAAAGTTGGTAACGTTACCAGATTCAAAACCATCAAAACACAATTCAACAATTCGAGTCTAAAATCACTCAAATTCTTCCAGATTCTGATAAAATAGGTGTAACATGAAATAATCTTTCCTTTTTGAACAGTTTAACATGTTTCTAAACGTAAAACTAAAACTAGAACTAACACTAGCACTATCACTAGAACTAACACTAGACCTAGAACTAGAAACTTTCGGGTTCGCTTCCAACTTGTTTTCTGAAGAAGGTTGCAACATGGCACCCGAAACGTCAAAAATTTTTTCAAAAAACGCACGGCTCAACCCGAAAGTTTCTAGTTCTAGGTCTAGTGTTAGTTGTAGTGATAGTGCTAGTGTTAGTTTTAGTTTTATTAACACCGGCCGTGAAACCCTTCGTACTTATATGTTTTTAAACGGTTTTAAATAAATTAAGAGTGAATGAAAAATTATCTGTCAACATGAAATGAAGTTAGGATTCTCTCTCAGGTAAAACTTTGTTCCAATTTTTCCTTCATCATATAAGAAAGTTAGGTTAAGAAGTGATTGCGTTCTGCTACCTGTAGGTTGTCTTTCAGGTGCGTTTCTTTTACAGACGCTGGCAGATATTGACGGCGTCTGTAAATGAAAATTCGAAATAAGACAGGCCAAGGTTAGCTCTTTTCGAATATGTAAACCATTTGTTGAATTTCCTTCTAATAAGGGCTGCAAATTTTTCGCTATTTTTCTAGATAACGAAAATATTGGACCGAAAAGTAGACGGAAATACAAGGGGAAAGTTTGTTGCTGGGCTGAAAAACGATTGTGCAAACGTGTGATTGAGATGTGTTATATACCGTTGAAAAGAGCAGAAAATTTCCCATAAGATGAATATAGTTCTAGAGTTTTCTCCACGTCATATAAGAGAGTTATTCACCCAAGCGTGGTTTAGCCGCGGCAAAAATTCGTGGCAGCGCGACGTTTCTTATTTTTTTTTGCTCTCATTATCAACATATCGGCGGAGGAAAATAGCGGTTTAAGATAGAGAAATGACCAAGCTTTCCAACCGTGTGCTTAGTTTTTCGCTAGCATTATAAATAACAAAGATATCCGTCCGAAAAGTACATAGATGGAAATACAAAAGTAAAGTTTGTTGCCAACTGTAGACTTTTTTTCAGGAGCGTTTTTTTTACAGACGCTGACAGATATCGGTCAGCTCTTTCCGAATATGTAAACCATTTATTAAATTTTCGTCTGGTAACGGCTGCACAAGGCCGTGAAGTTTGGTAATTTTAAGGTAAATTGAATGCAGCGCGACGTTTCTTATTTTTTCTTGCTCTTATTATCAACATATCGGCGGACGAAAACTCGGTTTAAGATAGAGAAAAGACCAAGCTTTCCAACCGTGTGCTTAGTTTTTCGCTATCTTGCTAAATAACAAAGATATGGGCCCTAGAAGTAGGTGGAAATATAAAGGAAAAAGTTTGTTGCTGGGCGGTTTGTTGCTCTCGTCTCGCCGGTTCAGATCTCTTGTTCGATCCCTGTCAGTCTTTATCGTGTTTTCGCTAATTGAGCAGTAGAAGTCTACACATTCACCGGTTTTATGCTAAATTTTAGGACCAATTACTTTTTTTTGTTCAAATTACTACCGATTTTTCTATTGCAACAAGTAATTTCGGGAAGAAATACTAAAGAAGGAAGCTGCTTTTTGCCAATTCATTTTTTGTTTCGTGTACGAATAATTCTAATTCTTGTCCTTGTTTCTTTAGCAAAAATATCTTTTTTTAGTTTACAACTTCTTTTAATTCAACTTACAATATGTTCGTAAGGTCTCAATAAATGTGTGTTGTGTTATAAAAACCTATTTTCCGTGTCAAAAGTCAAGGCCCTTCAGTTTAGAGATCGATATCTTCGAAACTGCTCTATGAAAAAAATAGCGGTAAACTTTTTTTTGACGGTGCCGGCAACTTGCGATATATTTTTTCAAAAACTATCAGACGAAACGGCTAGGTAGAAATTCAAAGCGGTTTTAACTAAAATATGTTGAATAATTGCGTTTAGCGGATCCTGTTATTCGTTTTTCAAAGTTATGTCTCAGATAACAACGAAATAGAAATAAGTTATGCGGCGAGAGAGGAGTTCCGTCCTATCGGAAAAGATAGTGGTGTGTATTCCAGACAGGACGTCGCGCCTTTATTTTACCAACATAAAGAAATAAACAACATTGAACAAGATTTTAATTTCTTCATTATATATCGTAAGCAAAGTGCTCTCTCACTAGCAGATTATATCCGCAAAAGTTCATCTATGACATTACGTTGGGTAAAACAAACCACCTGGATTTTGGACATTGATCGCGAGGCTAACTAAGAAAGGCACTCTTTTTAATCCTCTAAGTAAAGCATTGTTATCGAGGAGCTGGAGAGTCTCGATGTTGGTGTGCTGGTGCTGATACAGCCCTGTTCGTGTGTCTGGGTATATTTTTTGTTAATGTTGTCGATAGTCTCCACTTTTAGTCATTAACAATTTCTCTCAGTACCTTATTCTGTAACATTTACACAAGTTCACATTAATTTGAAGACTTGTTAATAAAGCATGAGCTTGTTGTATACAGGCAGAATCTGCCCAATAGTCAACAAATTTTCTTGTACTTAAGTTGCAGAGGCGAGTAGTATTTTCTTCTTTTTTATCCAATGATATCTGATAGTGGACCAGCATCGTTCTTTAGATTAAGTTGAAATTCCTTTTCTAGATAGGTTGCTAATCTTGAAGCCTTCTGTTCGTTATCTCTGGTCAAACTACCGTCTTCATTTTTGATAGGAGTATGTCTTTTTAGATTTTTGGTAAATCTCCATAGTAAATATTGTGTGCTGGAATCATTCGTAAGTCCTTCGCTGCTAGTCATCGAAAATCGTGTTTTTGTGTTTAAAATGAATACAGAAAGGTTGCATTTGATCTATAGGTTTATGTTTCATAAAACTAATATACTTACATCTCAGTTTATTTTGATACAACTCCAAAAGATTTATTCCAAAGCTAATCCAAGTACACAAAGATTATATTCCAAAATTGATTAAGTCCACGCTTATGAGCATCTACGAGTGGGTTGACAATGCTTACTACTGAGAAAAACGTGAAATCTCACGATGCATTAACTACTTTACCCTAATCTATATTATGGAGCAAAGTGTTGTTGTGAATTAGTTGTGAAAATGTTGAAAAACTCCAAAGCTTGGATGCTCTCATCAAGGTATGCTTTTATGTAAAGCTCTGCCAGCTCAAACAACAGGTGAAGAAGTATTGAATTTACTTAATGCTTACTTTGAAAAATATTCAATTTCTTGGAATATATGCCATCATATTTGTAGTGATGGAGCCTAAGCTATGGTGAGCTATGACATCAAGGCTAGCCATTGTTCTATACATCGCCATGCTCTCGCTGTTAAACAGATACCAACTGCTATGCACAAAGTTCTCAATGACGCCGTTAAAATGGTTAAATTCATCAAATCCAGACCCCTAAATGCCAGGGTATTTACCCTATTGTGTGATGACCTGGGAAGCTTACATAAAAATCTCCTTCTTCATACTGATGTAAGATGGTTATCGAGAAGAAAGGTTCTAACCCGCTTGTGAGAATTGCTTGATGAAATTCGTATCTTTTTATCTGCCCGTGAATTTGCTAGAAAACGTAATGACACTAGTTGGCTTTAAAATTTACCTAACTTGCAGACATATTTTCGTACCTGAACACCGTTAATCTTTCACTTCAAGTACCAAATACTACAATTTTTAAAGTCGATAGCACAGTAAACTCGACAAAATTTAAACTTAAGCTTTGGGAGGAATGAATCACCAAAAATAGTACAGAATAGAATGTTTTGCTAACTTAAACGATTTCTTAGTAACCAATAATCGTATTCGACCAGTATTTAAAGAAATAATATATGTTCCAAAATATTATTAACTGGCTTGCAAAAGACATTTTTGGAATATTTTGCCCCTACTTGTAGTAATTTAAGTTGGGTTGAAAATCCTTTTAATGACTACAGTGGTGTGGATACCTTCCCAATTAAGGAAAGAGAGCATCTTATAGATATACGTACCGATACCACATTAAAATCTACATTTGCACATGATTTGGATAAAATTAATGGATGAATATGCGGAAATTTCCAAGCGCGCCGTTAAAGAATTGATGCCTTTCGTAACAACATATTTCTGCGAGAAATCCTACTATCTAATACGTCGCTACGAAAACGAAGTACAGAAATCGACTTGATGCTGAAGTTGATATTCGTCTCCAATTAACATCGATCCATCCAGATATTGATAAATTGTGCAGCAATAAACAAGCACAACAAAGTCTTTGTATTTATCTATTACTATGCTTATGACATATTTATATTTTATAAGGAATGTTTATCTTTTTGTTTAAATAAATACAAGTTAGTTGCTTGTATAGAGTTTTTATAACGAAAGCAGAGACGCCCGTTGTTTATAACGTGTAATATGTAATTATAATACCACATATCTATCCCTAAAATCAAATCTGGGTATGTTACTGAACGAAGAGTTCCATAAAAAAATTATCTCAAAAAATGGTTCCGCGCGATGACAAAGGTTGAAGAAAATTGCTTTAGGGTGATGATTGCCTTTTACATTTCTCCTCATTTTTAAGGTGTTTTACCATGCTGAGTATTGGATAAATTTAATCAGCTTCTCCACCTCAAAATTAAATTGTTCTTCGGTTTTCAGTGAGTCCACCAGAGTAATTCGTTCATTAAACTTTTTTTGAAGCTTTCCCAATCAGTTTTTGTTGATCAGACTCGTCAGCTCGATTTTGAGAAAATTGCTACTATCGGTGAGTGATCCGAGTTTCGCTCAAGGTTGTCTTCAATTTACATATATATTATTGGGTGACACGTTTTTGATGATGTAGAAATTTATCAAATCTGGGATATTATCTGAGCCAATACGTAAGTTTGCCTATTGAGATACACTCACATCCTTGCGCTTGAACATCATTTACCAATTCTCTACCTTTGGTTGCTTTAACTTGAAGCTGTTGTTGATGATTAAGCAGTTAAGTGATTACGGTTGATATACTGATGATATAGTAAAGTGTTGGTTAAAATTATGAAACATAAAACAATAAAGAACACCACAAAAAAACAGCACTTCTAATTGTGCAATATCAAATGAATTAACTTATTTAAAATAATAAAATTTTTATTAATAATACGTAAATTGTAGGTACATAAATCCTCTATAGTATATATTTTTTTGATTTCTTACAAATTATTATAAATACTGTACATTTATATATTTCATAGTAATATAATAAATTAATTTATTGTATTTTTTTAATTTGTTTTTTTAGTATCTTTAAAAAAATAAATTAACTAAAATAACTTTCTAATGTCTTTACAAATTTAATTATTGTTTTATATTGTTTCTTTAATTAATTTCTATTTGTTTCCACTTTGTAGCGTGTACAATCGATGATATAATCCCTTTTTGGCTAAAAGCTCGCTGTGACTTCCCATTTCGTAAACTTTACCTCCATTCAAAACATAAATAACATCAGCATCTTGGATTGTGCTTAATCTGTGAGCTATTGTTATACACGTTCTTCCTTCTCTCGCGTTATCTAAAGCTGCTTGAACAATTTTTTCACTTTCTGCGTCTAAAGCTGAGGTCGCTTCATCTAAAAGAAGTATTTCCGGATTTCTTACTAATGCCCTAGCAATTGCTACACGTTGTTTTTGGCCACCAGAAAGTTGAGTTCCACGTTCACCCAAAGGAGTTTCATAACCCTACAATAAAATAATTAAAAAAAAAAACTTGATAAAATTAAGATTATGTTACTAAAGGTAATGATGTAATAAAAGTATGAATATTAGCGTTTTTAGCTGCTTCGATGATTTCTTCTCTGGGAACATTCCTTGAATTATCTCCGTAAGCTATATTTTCCGCAATTGTTCTGTCGAAAAGATTGGGTTCTTGTGATACAATACCCAAATGAGATCTTAACGTAGTCATTTTAATGGATTTTATATCTTTGCGATCGGCGTATACAGTTCCACTTTTCGGATCGTAGTATCGCTCCAATAATTGGATTAAAGTGGATTTTCCGCAACCGCTCGGTCCAACTAATGCGACTGTTTGACCCTTAAGGATGTTCAAATTCAATCCTTGTAGAACCAGAGTTCCGTCTCTGGTTGGATACGAAAATACGATATCTTCGTAATTAATATCACCATTTTTCTTTATAAAAGAAAATTAATTTAATATTTATTGATAATTATAAATGAAATTATAATACTTACAAATCTTTCAGTGGATGCGTTTTGTGAATCTTGAATTTTTGGTTTACGATTAAGTAACCTAAAAACTTTTGTAGCTGCTGATAAACCTTTTTGGAAATTTGGAGCAAAAGCTAAAGCATTTGCAATCGAAACTGTGCCCATAATCAAAGATTGAGAAACTCTAAAAATTATCAACATTTTTATAAATCCTTTATTTTATTATTCAATAAAACCTACTTAAAAACGTTTTCGTAATCTAAACCTTCTTCTGTAATTAAAACGCCACCGTAATACATGCAAGCGGCGAATGCAAAGAACATCAAGCTTCTCGCTAATCCGTAAACGCCGCCGCGAAAATGGGTGTTTCTCATGGCTCGTTTATGATTAGGAAGCAATTCGGTGATATATAATCGATGAAATTTCGGTTCGGTTCCCAAAGAAGCCACTGTTCGAATATTACTGACAGCTTCAACTGCAAACTTAGTAGATTTTTCCATCGAACCGTGAAAACTATCATTTTGTGCGAACATTAATCGACCTTGTAAGAATGTTGCCAATAAAATAAATGGAGTGAAAGCCAAAGCTACCAAACCAAGCCTCCATTCGTAAAACATAGACAAACCGATTGCTAATATTATCGTTGCAAATGATTGAAGAACTGTTCCAATGCGCTGACCAGTTGCTCCTTGAACACTAGACGCTTCAGAAGATAATTTTCCACAAAGAGCACCCACTCCGTTTTCTTTTCTATCAAACCAACCGATTTCTTGTCGTAATATAGCTTCGAACATTCGACTACGAAGCCGCATTGTTAATCGTTCTCCAGCAATTCCAAAGGTCCAAAGCTAAAATACCATCAAATTAAATACTAAAATCTAAAAGTTTTATTGTGTTTCTTTAGATTACCTGTAAGAATGTTGCAAAACCAGTAACTATACCAGCTACTAAAAACAGGACACAATATTTATTAGTTTCCGTTCGAACGTACTCCGGAACATCATTCGATAACACTCCGAGAATTTCACCAAAAAGAATTGCAAAAACAGGCATCGCACAACCCATGATAACGGAAGTGATACAACCGATTAAAATTTGTGGCCATTCTGTTGAATTCATCTTCATAATTGATGTTAACGATGCGTTACTCACGTCTGAATCGTCATCAGTATCCTTCTGAACATCCATGAAAAATAAAATATTGTAAATAAAATGCAGCAATTTAGAGGTTTATGACGAAGAAATAAAGATAAATAAATGGAAGGTGTAAGTTTTTTAAGTTGTTAACGTGAAATGAAAGAGGACGATGAAATCTCTCGATCTCCGCTAAACTAAATCTTGATGACTAAAATTGATCAATTAATATAATAAAGGAGATAATTGATGTTTTTGATTAGATTGATGTTTGTGTTTTGATTTTGAGGAGTTGTTGTATTGCATGGAGATATTGATAATAAGGAAAAAAAAGAGAGTGTTAAACGGGGTGATCTGGATTCAAAAATGTTCAGAGAGAATGAGCTAATCTTTTCTTTGATAATGAAATCATCTTAGAGAGCTATGTTGGAGAGAATTAAAAGTAAACGTGATTCGGTCTTTGGTAACAAAGTCGAGTAAAGATTCGTCGAAGAAAAGATTTGGGTAAGGGGTGCGTTGCGCCAGGTGAGCTGACGGCTAAATATCAAGTAAGAAGACAGAGATAAAAGAAGTAGAAGAGATTTCTGACTTTGCGAGATGAGGAAGCCTCTGCAAATAATATTAGATAACTGACTGTCGAAACTTGTGCTTTGAAATAATCCGCCAAAAAGATTCACAGGCAGCTGGCAGACAACTTTCAGGATATACTTGAAAGGCAGACCATATCAGTAAAAACAGATCCAACGGTTTAGAGAGAAAGAAAGAAGAAGAAAAGATGTCTTCTACTTCTCTAATACCGGTGCGCAAGGTAGTTTCTGTGGAATCTCCTTATTAAGTATTGGGGATTGCAACCCACTAGTTATGCGCCATAATTTCTTTGAAAATAAAATTTATTACACTTTTTTATAAGTTTTTAGACAGAATTGAAAGAAACTGTACTTGCAATTTATTCACAATAGTACACAGTGGTTCAATCATCAGGCTTTTTAATGGATAGACTACATCATAGAAATGACGAATGGAATAGCATTCCAAAGATCTATCATTTACGTCTATATTTAAACGATAAAGCAGTTGAAAACAAATTTGAAAAAAACATTGAACAAACATTTTGAAATATGTCGTATAAAAACTTTATGACTATCAACTTGCTTGGCATTTTAAATCCTATATGCGAGAAAGTACTCAAAAATGAATGATGATAAAATGTACTGAAAGATGGTAGCTACTGATAAATGGAATGTAGAATATTTTGAAATATGATGAAGATGGAAAATATTGGTTGATTAAATCAACACTTACCTTTGCTGCCTCATTAGCTACAACAATATTCTTATCCTCATCTTCAGTTTCACTAAAGCCTCTGGCCAACGTTTTTGATCCGCCATCAGTTTTAACGATATCCGTTGTAACTTGGGTGGTAACTAACCCATGATACTCTCCTTCCAAAGCCATAAGTTCTTCATGTGTACCTTCTTCAACAACCACACCTTGCGACAGGACTACAATACGACTTGCACCTCTAATAGTAGACAAACGATGAGCAACGATGATAGTCGTACAATTCTTACTGGCATTATCCAAAGCGGCTTGAACTTTAGCTTCACTATTATTATCTAAAGCTGAGGTGGCTTCATCCAAAAGTAGTATTGAAGGTTCTCGAACTAAAGCTCTTGCGATGGCTATCCTTTGTTTCTGACCACCAGATAACTGGGCACCTCTTTCTCCTACCAAAGTATCGTAACCTTGAGGTAGCGACGAAATGAAAACGTGAGCGTTTGCTTTTTTTGCTGCTTCCTCAATTTGCTCTTGGGTAACATCCTCTTTTCCATACCGAATATTTTCAGCGATTGTCGTTGCGAAAAGAACCGGCTCTTGACTTACTACACCAATGTTATTTCTCATCCATGTTAAATCGAGATCTTTTAAGTTATGACCATCTAACGTTACCTAAACAGAAAATGAATGAATAAATAATAAGATAAGATCAAAAAATGACTTGCAATATCGATTAAATCCTATAGTATTATTTTTTTAACTGAATTCCGAAGGTTATTCATATAGATATATTAATTTATGATCCTCAATTCAATCGATCATGTTAATAATGTTTTATCTTTTTCACTTTTTTAATCATTTTATCGGTTTTAGGAACGTTGATTACTGATAATTTTCCGTCTCGGCATTATACGCAAATGGAGTGATTAATTGGTAAAGTATGTTTTACACAATGATACAGATATAGGTATAATAAAATTAAAAAAATAGGATGATTATACTTACGTCTCCTGCAAGTGGATCGTAAAACCTTTGAATTAATTGAATACATGTAGACTTTCCACATCCTGAACTTCCAACCAAAGCAACCGTTTCGCCAGAATTTATTTTTAAGTTTAATCCTTGCAAAATCTAAATGAACAAAATAATTAGTAATAATTAATATGGCTATTAAATTTTTTATACTCACATTAACATCTGGTCTCGATGGATAATTAAATTTAACATTTTTAAAGACAATATCTCCTTTGACTTCTTTCAATTGAGTCCCGTTATCTTTTGCTTTATTAATGATCGGTTCATTATCGATTACGGAAAACACTTTTGCCGCCGCACCTCTTGCAATTCCAAAAGCTTCAATGTATGGCGATGCCATACCAAAATTCATACTTCCTTGCATTACAGAAAAGAAAACCTACGTGAATTAAAAATAACATTATTAAAAATATTAATTTTTTTAATAGATGACAATAACTTACTGTAACCATGTTTCCTGGTGTATAAACACGCTCATCCTCTGGAATGCCTGCTTCTTTTTCGTCCAAAATGAGTTTAACACCGTACCAAAATGCTAAAGCGTAACTAGCATAAATAAAAAACCAAAGTAAACCGAATCCTATGCCCGAAAACATAGTTCTTTTGATGTTGTTATCTCTGGCGAATACTAATTGTTTTTCATATCGCGCAAGTTCTTTTTTCTCGCCACCGAAAGCCATAACAGTTCTGATAATGGCTATTACTTCTTCTGCAATAGCTCCAGCTGCTCCGTAAGCGTCCATTTCTTTTTTAGCAAGTTTTGATGTTAACTAAAAAAAATTGGACAAACAAATTATTTTTTGATTCATTTAAATTTTATTGCTACATACTATTGTAACGATTATAAGAGCGATCATCGTTGCTGGAAGTGATATTAAACAAATAAGGGCTAATTCCCATCCTTTTACCAAAGCCAATACGAGACATGATATAAATGCGCATTGCATTGTAATGAACATAGACACTTTTTCACCGAGTCCATCTTCTAATTTGTTTAAATCTCTGATTAACAAAAAAAAGATTAATTAAGAAATCAAAATTTATTATATTTTTTTCCTTACTCTGTTATTCTACTAGCAAAATCGCCAGTTTGATTTTTATCATACCAACTGATGTCTTGGTAAAGAGCTTTTTCGAAAAATAAATCTCTTATCGTCAGAATCTGTTTTAATCCGGATAAATTATAAAGAACGATGGATAAGTATCCAAAAAGTAACATTCCTATTCCAATAAGTAAATTATATATTGCAAACCAAGTAATGCTATCCATTAAATTATCTTTTGTTTCTTGACTTTCTTGGTTGTACGCATAGGAAATAATGTCACCTGCTAATGTTCCAAAAACCAGCATATTTAGCGATTGTAATACGCCACAAATTGCTGCAGCTATTGAACCAAAAAACATAAATATTTTATCCATTTTTGTAGAATATCTGAACTATATTAAACAAGAAAAATTATTTAAAAATTATTTTAGAGTTGTTATTAAAATTATAAATTACCATTTGGAAAAATGATACCATAGGAACAACTTCCGGGGTTTCTTCTTTTTTCTCATCATTTTCATTTGGGGTTACAAATGTTCTGTAAACGTTTATACACAAAATTAAAACATTTTAACATAAATTTATGTTTTTCTTAGTCTTAATTCTTTTAACTTACACATCTAAAGATTTTCCTTTCTTTCCCTCCGGTGGAGGCATTGTTATGTTAATTTTATTTTTCATTTGTTATTTCTTTTAAACCACTAATTTCAAATCACTAATTTTAAATCATTAATTTTATAGCCATAAACTGAACCGGCTGTGAAAAGTGCACTATATAAACTGAAATACTTTCGGAACCGTAAGTACTTATATGAATTATCTACTTTTTAGACTGATGTCAGGTAGGTATTGTATTACTACGATAAGATAACTGGATGATAGGTTAAAATCGTTATCCATATATATTATCGGAAATCTGGTTTGCTAAATTGAGGAATTTGCGAATTCATAAAAATTTACTGATTTAATGTATTGTTGTAGGTTTATGTTTAGAGATTATTATTTTATATTGGTAATTAAAAATAAATCATCATATTTCTAATTTTAATAGTATTAAAAAAGTAGCCGTAACTTATTTTTCTTTATTTGTAATAAATATTAATGCATTTATTTATAACAGATGGAGTGGAACAGTTAATAAGTAATACAACTCAATAAGTGATACAGAAAACATGATACATCATGTTTTTAAACGCTGTAATATATGTTAGTCAATATTGTATCGATCAAGCAAAAGCATGCACTACCCGTTCAAAAGTATGCTGAGGTCGCTTGCAGATGATCAAGGCTCTGCTAGTCATACTACTCATGCTGACCCTTGACACGACAAACTCGTGTCGAGATGTAAGTACAATGTAACTAAATAGGACTGCTCGAAAAATACTTACTTCGTTTAGACCAACTGTGTTTTGGATTTGAATGAATTTATGGTTTTACTGAAAAAGTTATGTTTACCTTCGCAGGGGCGTAGAGAAGGGTCTCTTTAGTCCTCCTCTAGCATATGAAAAATAGTAAACCGAATAAATACCTAAATACAAGCGACCTCGCCTTATATTAATAATTGTCGTGATTATCGGCGAAGTTGTTTCAGAACAAAGCGCTGTTTTAAATACCCTTGTAAATAAGGGAGAAGAAAGGGCAAAGAAGGGAGAGCCCTCAGCTGTAACACCATGGTGAACAACAATAGAAGCTGTGGTCGTTTGCGCTCTATTGGATCATCATCATCATGCTTGGTCAGCCTTGACCTGTCTTAACAGTTCTTTGCAAACTTGTCTATTTTGTGCCTGTCGTCTCCAACTCGTGATATTCAGCCTTCTTAGGTCCTGTTCTATATAGTCCACAATTCGTCTCCTCAGCCTCTCAACCAATCTTCTATCCACAGGTCCTTGGCGATCACAGATATTTCTTGTAATACTTTTTATATCCATTCGAATTATATGACAAATCCATTTCAACCTCTTCACTTTGCTAAATTTAACTATCACCAGACACGGTTGTATTCACTAAAAGCGCCAAATATTCTTCTACAAATTTTCACTATCACAAATCTCCCGTTTTGTGTTTGACCAAGATTCAACAAAATGATTACTAATCTTATATCGACGTAGTATTAAGTTCGTGTAGAATTTGATAGAGTTGATATCTATCTATTGCATGTGTATGTCTATGTTATGTTCCTAAGTATTGATAAGGATCTATTATAACAATTGTGGATCTGATGTAGGTTGCAGTCGCTCATTGATGATGTTAAGGAGTACCATGTATGCTGAAGGGAGATTAATCTGTCGACCGCAAAGGGTTAATTAAGTAGTTACTACCTGACTTATATACTTCGGAGGAAATGACATCTGCTCCGGGTGTTTTTTAGGCTAGTATGGATTTGGGCTTCTAATGATAATAATAATAATATTTTTGTTTCCGAGTCATTTCCCTCACATCCATACTCCGGTGACAGTCCCAATAAATTGTGAAAACATTGTTTCCAAACATCTTTTATGCCTTGTTTTTCAGTATTTTTTTTTGCCCCCCTTATTCTTGCAGAGACTGGTTTGAGGTTTATACCCAGTTCTTAATTTCTTTAAAATGTCTATTTATTCTTCTTAAAAGCTTCTTCCATCTTGTCAATCTGCCCGTTTACAAGTTCCCTTTTCTTTCTCCTACACAATTTATCCGATTTCACCTCACTCCAGACCTTGTTCTCCGTGACACATACGTCCTACATGCACTTTTTTTCCTTCCTATGGCTTAATTACACTTTCACCAATCCACGATGCTCTTCTTCTATATTCACTTTGTTAATCTGTTGTATCTGTTCATTCATCTTGTTGTTAATGCTGCTCTAGAATTTCGTCTGCACCAGGAAATGATATGAGCCACAGAGTATGCTGATTTCTTATGTTTACGTTCAATATATTGCTTACTGCAATTATCTCTATCAAAACGTGATCTATTTGATTGACTTCCATGTAGGTTTATGTTTATCCTTATTTGGGAATTGTGTGAAACTTACGATAATTTTTTTACTGTTTGCAAAGTTTATCAGAAACTTCCCGTCATCATTGGTCTTCTTCTGTAGAGTGTGTTCTTTATAGTATCGATGAGTTGGATATTTAGTATTCTTGCCAAGATGTCTCTTTAAATATTATAATTGTGTGGATTCTTAGACTGTATATTCTTTCATTAATTGCTTCGAAGGTTAGAATGTTTGATTTTATTTTGTCGTTTACGATAAATACTGTGCCAAGTTCCTTACTTTTTCTTTTGATAATTTTGTGAATTGAACGTTTAAAAAGTAACTCTTATGACATATCTTAAACCTTCTAGAATAGGTGTTTCAACATATGCCTTCAACGAATGACTTCCTAATATCAACGAATGCTATACTGGGCTATCTTCCGTTTTGGTAGTATGCACCTTGGAAACTTGAGATCGACACCGTGGAATACATTGGAGAGGTGCATTCAACAGCTTGATTTGCAGTTGATTTAATGCTGCATTCCTCATTAAGAGCAGTAATGGAATTAAGCTGAGATAGAATAGGATAAAGAAAAACTTTTTTTTGGAAATGAGTTCATGAAGTTTCGCATCACGTGTCATGTAATAATTTCCAATGGGTAATAATGAGATTTTTTATCTCAATCATAATATACAATACACCTGTATTTATAAAGTGAATCATATTTGATAATTTTATTGTTTATCACATTTAATCAGACTAATGTTATTTGTAATACATTTTAATCATTGGGCTAGAAATAATATATCCGTACTTTACAAGAAACAGAGAAACTTTATTTTACAGAAACTTTAACAGTTTCATTCCAAACCATTTTAATTTTAAATACTCAATATTTACCATGTCTTATTAGCTGTTTTATCTGAATATAAAAAGTTGTCTGATTAAAAATATGTAGAAAAGCATTATAAAAACAATAATCAACTAATATGAAGAGGTTAAAATTAGTCTATGATTGTTTTAATAACTCGGTTAATTATTATTCCAATAGAATACAATTCGAGAATACATGGCTTACGCACAATACAACACCAAAATACCTAGGCTTTATATACGATAGAACGCTCTGATATAAAGGATATAAGTATACGAAAATAGCTGAGAACTAAAAACAATATTATACAAAAGCATTGTAGAACAGGGTGGGGAGTGTCCAGTACCTAGCCATATTACAGCCCCCAAACTTGGGCCGCATAAATACCCGCATGAGAAAGTACAAGAAGATCTTGAGGATCGTGAGTAACCAAAACTTACCAATACAACCTATGCGAACAAGAAAACCACTCAACCGACTTGGATAATCAATGTTTCATTCCAAAGCTTAATCCTCGATCAATACGAATGTGGAAATACCCGATTCGAAATCTCTTTCGAATTCCGCTAAAATGCCAAAATATTGCGAAGGTATACGAAAATAACACAAAAATGACTTTCTTTAAGTGGTCATAAATAGTAAACGATGTACTCGATTATCAAGATCTATACGTCATTCGATTCGTCATAGTTTCTTCTATCGAAATCACAGAAAGCCAGATCTCAATTCTCTCTCGTTAACCTTGTACAGCCCTTGGAATAACACCGTGTTCGGCTCGTTGTTTATGCAAGTATGGACGACCGAAAGTCTAGCTCCCAATAAAAAAAAGTTAATTTGCATTGAATTGATTATAACTAGAGAACGGTTTGACGGATTTTAATGTTCTATATCTCAAACGAAAGCATGCGTCTGGCTGAATGCGTACGTCGAAATGCTCGATTCGAAGTATGTAAGCATTTTGATTAAAATACAAAAAATTACTTAATCAAATAAGTCAATTATTTCCTTTATTAATTGAACAATTTTAGTCGTCAACATCTCCATGGAAAGTATGATCCACGGTGAATGCGAAAATGGAAATGCCCGATCTCTAAATTTGCTAATTAAGTACGTACGATTGTTTAAACGACTCCGGTGACTTTACTGCCTGGAAGTCTACTCCCCAATTACATAAAAAAAATTTTTTTGGAAACGGATTACTACTAGAGAACAAACTAATGTGAAAATGTTTGAAATATTCTACTAATCATAATAAAGTATGCACACAAACGAACAAAGTAATAGACTGATTTAAAAAGTATTTGTACTAAAATAGAAAATCTTTTTTATTTTTGGTTTTAGTATTTCTCCTTTAATATAATTTATTTCTGTTTTTACTACTTTTCTAGTCTTTTTTTTGCAAATTTTATATTTTTAGCTGTGTTTATAGAACACACCGAAACACACCGTTAACAACGATTTTTATAAAAAATAAGAAATTATATATAGCGCATTAAATCTTCATTAAATTTGCTTTAAAATGTTTTTTATTTCATGATGATATCTCAATTCCTTTTTGAGATACGATTTTTTTTAAAATTTATATTTCATGACCCAAAAATAAGTGATGATGAAGGGATGATATTTGTTGGGTACTTGATTCTTTTGCAGGAAGTGTTAAACAATGAAATTCGATTGGTGCGTTTTATTTTTAGTAAAATGACGTAAGTTTTATGTGAAATGTTTCGAGAAAACAAGTAATTTTTTTATTGAAAAGTTGAGTTTTAAAACCAAAAAACGATTTAAAACCGCTTCGCCCCGTCGTCTTTACATTTTTTGTTTATTCACCTCCACAATAATTCTTCACACAATAATTTAAGGAGGGGATGTTTGGAAGTTGATTCGCTAATAACGCATTTTAGTTGGTGTGAGGACATTTAAGGGTGATAATGTAGCTTTGAAAAATAAAACTTATTACTTGAATTAAGTGATAAATAC